AGAGCACATAACCGGTGCCTATAGCATCAGCCGAAGAACTGATGGGTGGATAGCCGGCGTGGGAGGTCTGGTGCTCCCCCTTCCCCCTCCCGGGGAGGGGGGAACTGCGCAGACAGCGGCACGGTGACGTGTGACGTCATATTAGTTTGCTTGTTTTCTGTTGAGGAGTTCTGTCCACTAGTTCGGCTTTAGGTAGCAATTTTCACCAGAATAGGGGTTTGTTTTGGAATGCTGACCTTTCTGGATGCTTGACCCGGTCGATGGCAGACATAGAAGGCTTCCAACCACACGGGGGTTTCTATAGGCCATTGCTTCCCCTGCCTCTCTGAGGGGGCCAGGTTCTGGCCGTGGTCCCCGGTAGGCCTTAGAACTCCATACACATGACTGATGTCAAAGTCTGACATTAGCATATCAGTCTGGTAAAGCTCCGGGGAGCCGACGGGGCTCCCCCCAGAAAACTCATCAGATGTTACAAAAGCTGAAAACTCACTAGCTCGACTTGTCAAAGGCACTTGATGATAACCTTTGGACATATCGAGTTTAGATATAAATTGACAGTGACCAATCTGGTCAATACAATCTTCAAGTAATGACAATTGGTAAGTATTTCTCCAAACAGATTAGAATACTGGTGTAGTAACATTCTCAACTCTCCCTGTTTACTCTCATCAAAGTGTCCCAACATCTCCTCAAAGCTAGAATTACAAAAGGTAGGATTAGACAAGTCATCAGTTATATGGTTCTCATGGGTGACTGTGTCCTGTACCACACATGACACTAGCCTGGAACCTTGAAATGCTTTTAACCTGTTAATGTGCACTACCAAAACCTTGGAAAGGTCCTGCAGACTTTAAATTTTATAAGTTAACTCAGAGCGTCTGCAAACAACTTCAAAAGGATCTTCAAAACTATGAGCTAAGGCAGTTTCCACTCTGGACTTTAAAACAAGAACAAGATCACCTGGGTGAAAACATTTCAGCTTCACCCTGAACTTCTTGTCATGGTGGTGTTTCATCTTTAACTGATAATCTAAACACAGCTAGGCATTAATCTATATGTTGTATACAGTATTTCACAATACTTATACCAGCCTACAACACCGCCTAGGTGTCAAACTGCACTCACTACCCAGCGGCTGCTGGTTACACCCTAAACCCTAAATACCCTATCTCTGGAGAATTCCTTAACTTCTATCCCAAATCATCAGCCAATGCTAGGTACTCATAATACTCACACATGCTACTAATGATAGCCATATCTGTATTCTACCTCCGAGATGTGCACTTGCAACCTGAGGTGTGTGTAGGCAACCCACAGACTTGTCGACCACTGTTGTCCTCCGCTCCTTGCCTGGGTAGACCCTGGCTCCTGGATCTCTGTCCAGTCCGATGTCTTCCACAGCACTGAATCTGCCACTTGTTTGCGGCAGTATTTATTCAACTTGCCCAAACCACTTCTGGTCATATGTCCTGCGCTCAACACAACAAGCCCTTGTCCATGTCTCAGACCATCCCAAATTGTCTCTTCAGGTCACCAATGGAAGCCTTACTGGAATCTGCCAGTGTCACGCCCTCAGAGTGGCTGTTGACCTACCATGACCAGTAGCACTCTCATAAATCTGACATCTGGTGTCCAGGAGGTGCCAACTGCCAGACCCGACCCAAATCCATTCAACATGCTCATAAACTACTTCCGCTGTCAATACGTTTGAGAGAGAGAGAGAGCTACTAACTAAATTTTACCCAATAATTTGGGGCATAAGGGGTACAACACCACTACTCCCCTCCCTAGTGCATATGTCCTCATATGCTCTTTGCAAACAATCCATAAGCATGAGTACCTGGAGGATGCATCCAGTACATCTTACATCCTACAATATCTCTAAGTACTTAAATCTGGTACTGTGGAATATATGCTTATCATACAGTTTCATATGACCTCATCAATGGCTAGGCAAATAAATAGAAATAGTTAGGCACATTTCTTTTCACCTAGTGAATGAATACACTCTTGCTTCCTGTCCCCCGACACAGTGATTTATAAGATTTTATGTGATCCGTGCAGCCCACACAATGTATATCATTTAGTGCAGCATCACTTTACTCTTCTATCTTTGTTTCCAATAGTTGCCAGGTGTGAGATTCTCCATGACCTAGACAAAACGCAGGATGTCCACCCTGGTGAATGTTGGTAATGTCCTATTGTTGTTCTAGGCTATTGTGATCCTAGCCGCCAGAGCCTGGAGATTCCTCCCCAAGAGTCATGTCCCCTGGGGTCCATGCTGCAGTCTTGTTCCAGGGTGCCAACCCCAGAACACTATAGATACATATCAGTTCCACATTCATCCTTCATTGTTGTGCTCTCAACTGTTGTAGTGCTAGCTAGCTAAAGTGCAACTAGCTAAAGTGTGCTTTAGGTTTGGAGTTCAAAGATATAATTCAGCTTAAGGTTCCAGGTATTGTCGCAGTAACAGAGATGAAACGTGAAGTAAATATTTTAAATGAGGTCATATTCCCCAGGGGCTACTCAGTTTGGAAATGTGACATGAAAATTAGGAAGGGGGGGGGGGGGGGGGGGGGGGGGGTGGCAGTGCTAGTGAAAGAACACCTAAAAGTGTGTTAATAATATAAAATCCTCGAAAAGTTGACATAATGGCATTGCATGTCTGGAATCAGGATGATGAATTGATAATATCAACTGGGAAACTGAATTAGGTAACAGAGTGAACATCAACCTAGCAGTACCTTCAAACATTTCTGCAGAAATGTTTGTACAGTACTCCATAAAAACATTGTACTCTATACAAACATAAATGAGCCTTTATAATACCCACTGTCCAATGCTAACGAAACAAGTCACAACTAAAACGTTAAACAATCCATGACTTACTAAGGGTATACTTAAACAGCCTTTCGGATTTCCTCTGCGGAGGTTCGGGAGGCCACCAATGCTTACCTCCTGCGAGACCCAGAATTTGCCTCTCTTTTGGACAAAGCCTCTTTTCAGTTCGGTTTCTTGTCCCCCATATTGGATGCATTAGAAGGTTCCTGGGTCTTCCTGGCTTGCAGACTACCCCTTCTTTGCTCTTGGAGCTTGGCACGGCTTGTGTTGTACCCGCACGCTTGCATGACGTGAGCTTCGGAGGCTCTCTTGAGTTCCTTAACCACTGTGCTGCGCCAAGTTTATTGTGAAATTTCCCCTGTGCGCTTGAAATAAAGTGTTCACAAAAAATTATTTTTTCTTCGTAAAATGATAAATTCCCTTCCCTGAATATGTCTATGTAAAATTAAATACCAAATTCCACTTACTTTGGCTGTGAGAACGTGGATAAGGTGTGCTGTGACATCATCAGGGCCTGGACCGCCTGTGCATGACTTCCCCAGACACGGTCGCGCGGGCCATTCAAGCACCGGGTGTTGCCACAAATAAATTTTCAATTATTTGTTCTATGTATTTCCAATGCGGTTTTATTTGTTTTTTTATCGTATATGATGCATATTTGTGTCCTTTACAATATGTATACAGTAGAACGTTCATAATGTTCCATGGAACTGTGATACATGTGTCAGTAATGTGTCCACAATAAATGCTTATTGTCGCAATATTACTTGCTAAAAATTCACTAAAATTACAATATGTACAGTTTCACACACTACACAGTAACACACTGTATTACACACTCAGTACTTCAGAAGTGAGCAATAATCAACAAAGTAGTCCATGGTGCACAGCGCGACTTTGCTCTCGTTGCACCAGGTACAGACAGATTTTCGCTTCCTGTTTCTTCATTCTGTGTGCTTGCAAATAACAAACTCACGTACACCCTTGGCTTTAGTACGTGTAGGTTGTATGTAGCCAAGCTTGTAAAGCATAAGGTAGTATTAAAAAGATTATAGGAAAAGATCAATTTGTAAGGTAGTCTTGAAAAGATCGCTTTGTATGGTCCCACACAGGAAGAGATTCAACTTGCCTCAAAGAGTGTCCATCAGTCAGGAAGAAATTCAGGTATTCTTGAAAATATCTATGGAAAACACCACCATGGAAGCCGCTAACACTGTTCATCTATGCTACTTGTATCAGATGCATCATGACTGAACGCAGAAAATGATTCATCTATGTATCATCTAAATAAATTGAAGATAGCATAGGATTGCAAGGGTGACGCTCAGAGCTACAACTGGATACGCTCCCTGTATCGTCCTCATAGGTGCTGTATCACTTGCATCCAACATTTGTATTAAGTCCTTATTGCTCCTAATTTCATCAATATTTTGACCCTTATGTTCTTCAAACAATAAGGTTTGAATTTCATCGACAGAGCGTTGTCTTTCAACACCATGTCTGAGACAGGTGTTTGGGAGCCTGAGGCGCGTGCACCACCCATGGTTGCACCACTCATTCAGTACTAACCCAGCCAGCAGCCCTAGGGCATTCTGGGATTTTTTTCCAAGATGGCTGCATCTCACTGGAGGTCCTAAGAGTCCATTTCGTACACAACCAACCTCGCACACATTTAGAATGGGTACAGAAAAAAAAAAAAAAAAAGTTTTCTTGGTTGGCACAGTTTCCTGCTGACCAAGAATACTGGGTTGGTGCAGTTAAGTGGTTAATGGATGCCTTCACACCCCTGCGCTTTCTCATGAGGTTGGGTTGCTGCAGTTGCACACTCATGTCCCTGTGCTTTTTGCTGCCTTGGTCAATGAGGAGCAAGCCTGGGCGACCTCCACAGAGCATCTCATCCATCAGCGCTCTTGAATTGGTGACATTATCATAGGATTTCCTCTCCACCACAGCCAAGGTAAGCTACATAATTTTTTTTTTTTTTTTTGTACACACCAGAGTTGTCATATGAAACAGGTGCACAGTTCATGAGTTATAAAAAACTAGCCTATATGGAAACAAATGTTTGTCACTTGCAAAATAACTAATGTACAAAGAGAAAATAAAAGGCTACTTACCAAGGTCTTGGTGTGATTACAATGTGTTAAGAAAAACACAGATTTTTACTGTTAAATTATATTGTAATGTACAATGTTTACTACAGTATTGTATTAATATTTGTAATGTTTAATTATACTAATTCACAAAAGTGATACTTTGTGTTATCAGAAATCCTTTAAATCCTGTCTCGGCAAACATTTTTCATCTGGGAAGTACATGGCATTTTATAGATACCCTGTACAGATTAATATTCCAGAGATAAATACTAGTTACATACACCTGCTTTTACTTAGCATATTCAATACAATTATAACCCAATGGTTCCAGATGAATGATTCAAACTATGAAGATAAATAGACTTGTATATGCACATCCCTCTCATGCAAATTAAAATTTAAGTATTTCATTTCCAAAAGGCTACATTTATCCTTAAATTATTTATTTAATCCAGGTCTGTACTTTAGCATGACCCAAGGAATCTATTCAGCTTCCAACTTTATCTTGCCGAAAATTATGGATTTATAAAAAAATTTAAATGTTGCATGTTTGTTAACTTGTACACTCTTGCAATCTTCAAATTATATTAAATAATTTAGGAAATGACAAAATGCAGGTTCCTTGTGCTCAAAAGGCCTGTCAAATTTGTGGCTGTCAGCTAAATGCAGGAAAATAATGCGGCATGATTCACTGAATATTTTCTAAAAGAAAATTCACTGAAGTTTCTAAATGTGTTGACTATCATATTCAGCTGAAACAGGACCACTGTTATAATCCAGTGATGTTTCTGGAGACGTTGCCATTCGGAGGTGCTCATGCTTCTTGGCATAGTACATATTGAAGTCCAATCTGCAGATAAATGTAAAGAAATTTAGGCTAAAAAGAACATCAAGTTCATCACACTAACTAAAAGGTTAACATGGAATTCTCAGTAAGCAATATCACATAATAGCAATTCTAAGAAGCCCAGAGCCTTCAGTTATATTATTACAACCTTTGGATAGCTTGCAACTGATATATGTTGTTAAGTAAAAAACCAGTGTTGAATGTAATGAAACGCCATTTTCTGGGTGAGCCCCTTTGCCTCCCTGCTGCTATCGAACTAATATGTGATGTATTAGTCTGCGGCATTAGTCAATGGAGTTCAGCCTACTGGGGACCACAAGCCAGAACCTGGCCCCCTCAGAGAGGCACAGGAAGCAAAGGCACCTGGAAACCCCACTGTGGTTGGGGGTATTCCATATCTGCCATTAACCGGAGTTAGGCACCCAGAAAGGTAGGCATAACAAAAACCCCACCCTGGTAGAAAAATGCACCCAAAGACTGAACAGGGAGGCAGAACTCCCCTTAAACAAAGAAACAGGCAAACAAACAATCATCACACTACCATCTCCGTGCCACATGTCCGTGTAGCCCAGCCCTTCGCTTCCCTGGAGGGGAAGGGGGGAGCCCCAGACCCCCTGTGCCAGCTACTTACACCGCAGTTCAGAAGCTGAACATCAAATCAAGAATCGCCGATTGGAGGGAGGGAGGGTGCCATGGATCCTCCGGGGCTCACCCAGAAAATGGAGTTTCATTACATTTAATGCTGGTTTTCTGTGGAAAGCCTTTTCGGCTCCCTGAAGCCACATGACCATAGATAAGTAAAAGAGGGACTTACCTGGGAAATAGCCACCATATGCTACTCAACTTCAAGTTGAGTAGCATATGGTGGTTGAGACAACTGGCTGCAGCCTGCAACCCAAAGCCACACACGAATGCCCAGGACTAGGAATGTTGACCAAATTATGAGCAGCCAGGACCCTGTTCGACCTCCAAAATCCCCGCACCCGAATGTCAGACCAAGACATACTGCTGAAGACGGCAGCCAAAGCAGCAAACTTACGAACATCATGGGCACGAGGATAGACTGCAGACTGGCTAGACTTGATAACCCTGTGGACGACCTGAGAGACCTGGACCCTGATTCACGAAGCAGTTACGCAAGGACTTACGAATGTGTACATCTTTCCTCAATCTTTGACGACTTTGGTTACATTTATTAAACAGTTTACAAGCATGAAAACTTCCCAATCAACTGTTGTTATTGTCATAAACAGCCTCCTGGTGCTTCGGAGCTCTTTAACTGTTTAATAATTGTAAACAAAGCCGCCAAAGATTGAGAAAAGATGGACAGGTTTGTAAGTGCTTGCATAACTGCTTCGTGAATCTGGTCCCTGAGCCCTGGAACACGGAATGAGGAAAACCGGATCAACCCAAAGCGCATCCCCGGCTACTGAGGCCGAGGCACGCAGATAACGGCGAAAAGCCGCAACTGGACACAACACATGATGCACTCTCAGCCTAACCAACCAAGCATCAATGACCCAAGGGCCCCTCCGGAAAGCCGCTGTCTCGTTCTTCGTCAGAAAAGAAGGAGACGGTTGCAACTGAACAAATCGACCACCAGGATCAAAAGAGCAAAAACCCCTGTGCCGTAGGAAAGCATGAAGCTCCCCAACCTGACCCCCAGAGGACATTGCCGACAGAAACAGAGTCTTGGAAAAACAATCTTGAGCCAAAGGAGCCACCACAACCCGAGAGGAAGAGAGAAAAAGAGAGCATCCTGTCCAAGGACCAGGATGCCTCAGGTGGCCCATGAGCAGGACAGAGGTGAAACAAAGCATGAGAAAGCTTATGGAACAGCGTAGAAGTGACGTCCACCTCGAATGCAAGCTGAAGCTCATCTGCCAGCCCCGCACGATACTGCCGAGACGAAGCTCGCTGGTGGGACACCATTAACGAAGCCACTTGATCACCATACAAATGGTGATAAACCTGTGTCAAAAAAGACTAGACACAAAGAGCGGAGGAATAGACCGAACCAGCTATGTACCGAACTGGTCCAATCTGCTGAAAGAGGCAGAGCCACAGAAAACGCCCCAGGTTCGGACACCGAGTAAACAGTGCCTGAAACCAAGGCTGGGCCAGCTACCAAGGGGCCACTAGGACGACTCTCCACCGAGCCCCAACAGGGTTTTCCAGGGCCTGTAGGCTGACTGCTACCGGAAGCCCAGGCAAGGTGTTACAAAAGCGGTTAACCACTGCACTGCTCTGCATTAACCCTCAAACCGCTAGAGGCCCAAATGGAATTCACACCCACAGGTGCAACAAAAAAAAATCCAAAAAATTCTTTCATCTTACAGAATTCATTTTTGTTCCCTGATCACGGAAAAAATAACAAAAAAATCGTAGGTGGCATATTTTAGCCGCAATAGGATAGGGAAGTGTGGCAAAAAAGAGGCGTTGGCAGAGCCTTCGCCAGACGAGGTCTACTCTGCCCGAGCTGTCAGATGGCAGTTGGCACAAATATATTATTACCTAATTATTTCAATGTCTCTGATTGATTTTTTCTTAAGTTTTTTTGCAGTAATATTATTCCATACAGTGAATTGTGGTATATTTATATTATAAAATGTGTGAACCATCGCTGTACTCAAAATTATGGTGTGCAAATTAGTGATTCAATTATTATGTTCATAAAACAATAAACAAATAGTTTTGCTGTTGTTACACTATATACACAGGTTATATATAAGTATCTGCATGTTTTGTACACCATAACGAACTACTAAGTTGGCCTTGTGAGTCAAAAAGCAACGAGGAGTGACCGCCAAACACCAGCGAGCCACTCACTGCCACTCCCTCCCTCAACACCACCTCACTCACCCTCATTCACCTCCCACAATACTGTTTCTGTATTTATTCACTATACACAGACGTTATATATACGTATTTACATGTTTTGTTCACCATAACTGTACATCTAAGCTTGCATGGCGAGTAAAGGCACAAAGACGTAGTTACTCACACAGTCAGCTGATCGGCGGCTGCCCTCAAGACCAGACGCACTAATATTTCTCCTCCAACAATATTGTTTGTGGTGTTATTACACTATATACACACATTATATATAAGTATCTACCTGTTTTATTCACAATACCTGTGCAAATAAGCTGGTATGGTGCCCAAAGACCATAGTGGCCATCAGTAAACAACATGCCAAGTCGTGCAGACGACGCTCCTCCCTCACCAAAATGGCGGCTCCCAACCTACTCCTATTGCTGTTATCTCACATTATATACACGTTATATATAAGTATCTACATTTGTGTTCACCATAGCGAACCACTAAGCTGGTATGGTGAGTGCAGTCAATAAATGGTGGCCACACATAGTCAGAAAACGACGCCACAACCCTCCCTCCACAGCCTTACTCCTCTCTCCATGGAGCACAGCGCTAAATATCACCACAATCCTGCTATTATCAGAATCCTGGTCAGTTTTATCACAGTCAGGGGGGCTTCAGTAATACTATCACTGCTAAATAATAGCAGTATCATTTATATTATGATATTTGTAGGCGATGCTGTGGTCACAAGCTGAACAACAGTGCTGTGAGCTCGTGCTGCGTGCGCCAGCCTTGGTGGCTTGCTCAATACTGACACTGTAACACCCAAGAACGTTGGCCTGGATTTTTTTTCTAGGTATCATCTGGCAACTATCGGTCGTGGCTGTACTATAGCTGCCCCTATCCCAGGCGGGGCATTTAAATTATAGCTCTAGACACGAAATCATATATAAATGATGTGCGCGGTTTCGGTTTTGTCACCGATATCATTTATATATTATATGCGCGGTTTGAGGGTTAAAATATGACAACACCCATGGTGTGCCAAAAATATATTCTTTCCAAAAACCAGCGTTGAATGTAATGAAACGCCATTTTCTGGGCGAGTCTCGGAGGCTCCCCAGAGCTATCTATGGCTGATAAGGATACCCTAACTATTTTGCACCAGTCGATGTGGGTGGAGTTCTAGGCCTACCGGGGACCACGAGCCAGAACCTGGCCCCCTCAGAGAGGCACGGGGAGCAATGGCCCATAGAAATGCACATGTGATTTGGAGCATTCTATATCTGCCATCGACCGGGACAGGCACCCAGAAAGGTAAGCGCCACAAAACAAACCCCTATTCTGGTTAACAACAAAAATCGACAAACGAGTGGACAGAACTCCTCAAAAAAAAAACGAACTAATAAGCATGACGTCACACGAGCTGCGCCGCATATCTGCGCAGCTCCCCCCTTCCCGGGAAGGGAAGGGGGAGCCCCAGACCCCTGCGCCGGCGATCCCCGCCCCCAGTTCTGAGACTGGATATCAAAAACCACCAAAAAACCGCCGAACGGAGGGAGGGAGAGTGCCGGGGAGCCTCCGGGAATCACCCAGAAAATGGTGTTTCATTACATTCAACACTGGTTTTCTGGGGAGAGCCCCTACGGCTGCCCGGAGCTACTTCACCAAAGACTACCTAAGAAAAGAAGAGGACACACCCGGGAGGCGGTCGGTGCACCACTCCTCAACACGAAGTCGCGACAACAACCCAAGGACCCCTCCGGAAAGGAGCAGGCACATCTTTCGCCAGAAAAAGGGAGACGGCTGCAGACGAAGAAACCTATGACCACAACCATAGGAGCCAAAAAACCACTGCGCCTCAGAAGAGCATGAAGCTCTGCCACACGACCCTCAGAGGCCAATGCCAACAGAAAAAGAGAGCCGTAGCAAAGCAAACCTGAACCGAAGGAGCCACAACAAACCAAGGAGAAGAAAAACAGGAGAGCACCCTGTCCAAAGACCAGGACGGCACAGGCAGTGCATGAGCAGGCCGGAGGTGAAACAACGCACGAGGCAGCCTGCGAAATGGCACAGAAGGAACATCGATACCGAAAGCTAGCAACAGAAACCAAGGTGCCAGACCCAGGAATGGCCCCAAGCGCCTCTACATCCTCCGCAAGCCAATCTTATGACAGCCC